GATATTGTTGTTTATGTATGTTCATGATGAAATTTTCTTTTATTGTTGTAATTAATTTATAGCATTAATAAGTTGACCCGTTGAATTCATTTTGGGAGCGATGACTGATTTAATGTATTTTTAGTCCAGTGCCTGTATATAAGATTAGTATTGACCAGGTTCAGAGGCTGTCATTTGTGGATTAAGCATGTTGTGTATTTTCAAGAGTTTCAATATGAAAAATAACTTTTATATTGATTCAATGGATTTATTGCATTTTGGGAAAAAAATTATACAATTTTATAATACATCTTTGAAAATCAAAATCTGGATTTGAATTTTTAATGTTATTATAACCTAAAGATGCTTTGTGAAAGTTTGAAACAGAAAATGGTGGTTTTCATCTTGCCACTTTCTTGGTAAAGAAAACACATTTTTACTCAAATTAATCAAAATGGATTTAAAGCGTTTCAGACCCAAACTCTTCATATATATATATATATATATATATACATACACACACACACAAATCCATTTATGTGTAAATATGTGACCCTGGACCACAAAACCAAACCAGTGACAGTCATAAGGATACATTTTTTGAAAATTGAGATTTATACATCATCTGAAAGCTGAATAAATAAGCTTTCTATTGATGTATGGTTTGTTAGGATAGGACAATATTTGAAAATCTGGAATCTGAGGGTGCAAAAAAACTCAAAATATTGAGAAAATTGTCCAAATGAAGTTCTTAGCAATGCATATTACTAATCAAATATTAAGTTTTTATATATTTATGGTAGGAAATGTACAAAATATCTTTATGGAACATGATCTTTACTTAATATCCTAATGATTTTTGGCATAAAAGAAAAATTGATCATTTTGACCCATACAATGTATTGTTAGTTATTGCTACAAATATACCCCAGCGACTGAAGACTGCTTTTGTGCTCCAGGGTCACATTTATATATTTTGTGTGCTGTTATCCTAAACTCATTTTCACAAGTGTTTTTTAAAATAATAATATGTACATGTCTTATTTAATGTTTATATATATAATATAAAATCACGTTAAAATGTAACTTATACAGACAATGGCTTGAATGTATATAGTTTCTGAATCAAGTTTCAAGTTTGTTTTTTGTTGTTGTGAGGCTTAAAGTCTTTAAGTCAAAAATATCTAGGTGGTGTAAGAGATTATTATTATTATTTTAAATTATATTATTTACAAAAAATGATTTCATGAAATTATTATTTATTACTATAATAAATTGTAATTCTATTACAATTTTGTTTTTCAACAGATAAACAGAGACAGCTCAGAGTTTTCTTTTTTCCTTTTTATATAATGATTGAGTCGTGTACACTCACATGTAATCATTTATAGAATCATATGATGTTTACAGAGTCACTGAAGTTTTTAACGTTTGTCAACAACATTGACACAGAATACATTTGATTTCTTCTTTTCATAACCTCCTCCTTGTTCTTGATCTATGATGTTTAGCTGTTAAAGTGGCCTGAGGTTTAGTGCTCTGGTGGATTGATTCATGCACTGTAAAACCAGAAATGGACTGTGTCTTAAAACCTATTGACCTGCAACTTAGACAGCATTTTTAAGCATCGTAGTTAAGCATTTAAAATCCTTAAAAGGCAGTGTAGATAGACAGCTCAAAAGGCTTTCAGATGCAATAGTAGCAAAAAATTTACATAAATTTGAGTTAATGTTTGCCTGTCAACATTGTGTTGGTGTAGAATGAAATACGTTACTTGAACTTTCTGGTGCATAAGTCAAGGGATTGGCCAAAAACCTGATAACATGTTCTCAGATGTGTTAATGACATTTAAGTGACCCCATGAGGGTGTCGTTTGCCTTATCTCAGGTCTAACAGTCATTACACCACCATCAGTTTAACAGCCTTCAACACACCTGCAGCAATAGAATCAAGTAGAATACAGTAACACAGAAAACGTGCATGTTGTGTTGATCATCAGCTTAAAGGATTGCACAGAAACGGTTAGCATTCAGCACTCAGAGTTGAAAGATACTAAAGAGACATGGTTTTCATCCAGGTTAGACTGTACTCTGCTCGTGCGGTTTGTCATGAGTGTTTCTCTTCTTGCAGAATTCGGTATGAGAGATGACCTGCGGAAGATGGAGATCTTGGGCATGTCGAGCCGAGATCTGTATGTGAAACGTAAGTAAATCTACTGTAACCACAGAAGTCACCTATCGTGGCAGTTCTTGTACATTTACAAATAATAAAATAGGATACCGAGTTGGGATTTTTTAAAGTAAAAGTTCACCCACCAATGAACATTTGCTCACCCTCAGGCCATCCAAGATGTAGATGAGTTTGTTTCTTCATAAAATTTGGAGAAATTTAACGGTTCATCACTTGCTCAGCAGTGGATCCTCTGCAGTGAATGGGTGCCGTCAGAAGGAGAGTCCAAACAGCTGATAAAAACACCAATACAATAATTCACACCACTCCAGTCCATTGATTAATGTCCTGTGAAGAGAAAATCTGCATGTTTGTGAGAAACAAATCTGTCATTAATTTTATTTTTGCTTGTGAACGGTGCTTGATCTGTGCAGATTTCTCTCCTGATTCAGACGAGACTATTTTTTCACTGCAGAAAGCAGCGATTTTAGCTGGTTTGAAGTCTTTATGCATTTGTTTCTTCCAAACACACATCTTTTTTTCTTCACAAGACATTAACTAATGGACTGGAGTGGTGTGGATTATTGTGATGTTTTTATCAGCTGTTTGGACTCTCATTCTGACGGCACCCATTCACTGCAGAGGATCCATTGCTGAGCAAGTGAAGTAATGCTACATTTTGGGTGAACTATTCCTTTGTTTATTTGTGTCATATTATATAATTTCAGCTTTATTGTAATTACCAGACATGCTTTTTAATAGTTTTTGATTAATGTCCTGTGAAGAGAAAATCTGCATGTTTGTGAGAAACAAATCTGTCATTAATTTTTATTTTTGCTTGTGAACGGTGCTTGATCTGTGCAGATTTCTCTCCTGATTCAGACGAGACGATTTTTTCACTGCAGAAAGCAGCGATTTTAGCTGGTTTGAAGTCTTTATGCATTTGTTTCTTCCAAACACACATCTTTTTTTCTTCACAAGACATTAACTGATGGACTGGAGTGGTGTGGATTATTGTGATGTTTTTATCAGCTGTTTGGACTCTCATTCTGACGGCACCCATTCACTGCAGAGGATCCATTGCTGAGCAAGTGAAGTAATGCTACATTTTGGGTGAACTATTCCTTTGTTTATTTGTGTCATATTATATAATTTCAGCTTTATTGTAATTACCAGACATGCTTTTTAATAGTTTTAGTAAACAGTAAAAACCTTGGAACTCTAGACCGCCTTTGGTCAGACAAAAAGGTAATTGATTATCAACCTAGTGAGCTGGAAAAATCCTGACCAATCCATGCATATCACACATCTAGTGTGTGACGTCTCTTTAAATGTCCTTTAGACTTTTTAACTGAAAAATCAGATCTGTTTGTTAATGTAATGCTGTCGCATCACCCCATTACATGTCATTTTCTCAGTGCATTTTACATTTACCTCAGCTCACAAAAGAAATTTTTTGTTCAGTTACAGCCACTTGTTTGTCTGTAGAGTATCAATGTTTGTTTCAACCAAAGATATTTCAGCAGGTGAAAACATAGTGCTTATAGAGAAAGATTCCTCAGAAGTCAGCGTGCCATTTTTGTATAATTCAGTTGATTTAAAAAATGTGGATATGCAACGTAAAATAAATCTTATCCTCCGAAGTGACAAACAAACTGCAAACGAAACACTTCTCACTCTCCCAGCCCTGTACACATTCATTTTCACTGGCATATGTGAGTGTGGTTCTCACTCTGCCTTGTGGCTCTCTCCTCTTCCTGTGGCGCACTCACCTGCGTACCTGTCCAGGTGTGAACCCGCAGGTGAAGTCAGGACGCTTTATGAAGCTCCTCCCTGATTATGAGCACATGGACTATCGGTAACCGAAAAGTATTTTTAATAGTTAAGTAGTTTTAGTTCAAAAATCACTACTTTCTGTCACAGATTCTTACTTATTATGAACGTGGAACATTCCTTTAAGGCTGAATCCCAAGTTGCATAGCTCTACTACACTATAAAAGTGTTCACTGGTGGGAAAGTACATACTTTTGATGTACTTTTCTATGCATTATGTAGTAAGACACCACAAGTAGGAAAGTGTGTTATTATTACCATCATCCATTTTGTTGCATTCCTACATAATTCATTCATCTAGCTGAATTCATTACATTATTACTTTTTGTTTTATATATTTACATTCTGTTTTGACATCACATTCCTTCTGTTGCACAAGGATTTGTGGGTAATATTAGCCACAAGCATATGTTATTCCACTGGAAATAATTCAGGAACCTTTGCAAAATACTGCAATTTGGAACGCACGTATGCTAATTATTTAGTATGCATAGTATGCAAATTGGGACACAGCCTTGGTTTGGGACAGGCTGATGTGACAGCAGCATAAGGGCAGCTTCTGCCGAGCGTGAGCACGCCTGTGTGTCCTGCATGCGTGTGTGTGATCGACACAGGCTGGCAAGGGTGCAGACGACTGCAGCTGCGCTAACATCAGCTGACTGTGTGAGATGCAGATGAGTAAAAGTGACCAGACGTGGGTAAATATTAGCTCTAAGTTGTTGCATGGCAGATAAGTTGCATATACTCACACACTCAATATGCATTCATGAGTTCATGCCCCATGCAGAAAGTGATATAATCCCATCCCATGTGTGTTGTGTGGTGTTTTAACGTCATGTACTTGTTTTGCAGTGTTACATCCCTATAGACACATCCTGGGTCTCTGGCAGCCTGATATCGGGCCCTATGGAGGACTGCTGAACGTGGTGGTAAGATCACACAGAAAAATATCAACAATGATAACAAATGCAAAAAGATAGCTGATATTGGTGGAAAATTACATATATGAATTGTCATAATTCATATACAAAACTCTTATGTATTGCGAAGATGATTATGGCGATGAATATCATTATATTAACACAGCACAGCTGTATAGGGACATACTACTATGCAATAAAATGTTAAAATTGAAAAAAGGTATATATAAATATTTAAAAAGCATGACAAAATTACTAAAACTTAAATTAAAATTAAAATGACTAAAATAAAATAAACAAAATACTAAAGTAACACTACTACATTTTCATTTGCAAAATGCTGTTGAATGAACCCAGTGCTAATGTAATATTGTGAACCAGTTAAAAAAAACATTTGCTGGTCATTTTAGTACATATCATACTGTATATTATGAAGTGTATTAAAGTTTACTATAATTGCTTGTCAGTACAGTCAGCAGTACACTTTACCCATATTTACCATGAAATTACATATGAAGATCTACTTAATATTTCAGCTAATCACATTTAATTTAAAGGGGTAGTTCACCCAAAAATGAAAATTACCTCATGATTTACTCACACTCATGCCATCCTAGGTGTATATGACTTTCTTCTTTCAGACGAATACAATCTGAGTTATATTAAACAATGGCCTGGATCTTTCCAGCTTTACAATGGCAGTGAATGGCCATTGAAGTCCAATAAAGTGCATAAATCCATCATAATAAGTGCTCCACACGGCTCTGAGGGGTTAATAAAGGCATTTTGAAGCGAAATGATGTGTTTGTGTTAGAAAAATATCCATATTTCACACTTTATAAACCGTAATCTCTAGCTTCTGCTAACTTTTGTACACGGGTTTACGAGAGAATGGCGTTCCAGCGGATGACGTTGGCGTAGCGTAAGCTCCGGTGAGAATATGCTAGTCTCTCGAGAACCAAATTTAGTTTACATCAAAGGAAAAAACAGTCTCCTCTTGGCCTATATCGAAATCCTCCGACATTTGTCTTTACAAATCCTCACTTTACACTTCTAATTCGTGACCAGTGTTTTGTTTTGCTCTCTCCACTGCGCTTCCGTGTTCGTCACTTGCCACCGGAGCTTACGCTATGCCTAATATACTTATTTTTAAGTATATTATTTCTGTAATAAGTAAAAGTATGCTAAAGTGTGCTTGTTTTTACAAGAGACTGTTGCACACATGTTAGCATCTAGCTAGTGTTAGCATCTTGCTAGGGATGCACCGATATGAAAATTTTGGCCGATACCGATAACAGAAAAAATGAGCCGATATGGGCCGATACCGATATGGTGGCCGATATATCGTGCATCCCTACATCTTGCTAAATTTATTATCATAGAGTTCATACCTGCTACATTTTTTGGGAGGGGGGAATTGTGTGCGAACTGGAATTCACCCAGTGGCTTGTTAAACATACAACTTTATTTAAAAAAAAAACAAACAAAAAAAACCTGAATCAAATTCTACATATATAAGACACACATTAAATGTACACTTGTACCGTATTTCAAACGTGCAACTCTTTCTTGCTTTGGTGATTATTTTAGGTTGACGGGCTGTTCATCATAGGCTGGATGTATTTACCGCCCCATGATCCCCGCGTGGAGGACCCCATGCGTAGACGGCCGCTCTTCCGCATTCATATGTGGGAGAAAAACAAAGCCACGGTAGAATGCATGTACGGACACAAGGGCCCTCATAAAGGAGACATTCAGGTAAATCTAACATATTTCTACCACAATGGCTCAATGTGCCATTATATTCCACAGGATATTGACCTTTTTTTCTTTCCAGACTGTGAAGAAAGATGAATTTTCCACCAAATGCAACCAGACCGATCACCATCGAATGCCTGGAGGAAGGCAAGAGGTAGGAAACGAGACTTGTTAAAGGAATAGTTCACCCAAAAATGAAGATTCAGTCATTAATTACTCACCCTCATGTCATTTCAAACTTGTGAGACCTTCGTTCATCTTCAGAACACAAATTATGATATTTTTGATGAAATCCGAGAGCTCTCAGACCCTCCCATAGACAGCAATGATATTACCACAATCAAGGTCCAGAAACGTAGTAAGGACATCGGTACAATAATCCATGTGACATCGGGTTCAACCGTAATTTTAGAATACTTTTTGTGCGCAAACGAAAACAAAAATAACGACTTTATTCAACAATTCGTCTCCTCCGCGTCACCCTATAGCACCATTTTGGAGAGTATCACATACGTAAACAACGTATGTACGCGGATACGTTGTTTGCATTGTTCGGTACAATAATCCATGTGACATCGGGTTCAACCGTAATTTTAGAATACTTTTTGTGCGCAAACGAAAACAAAAATAACGACTTTATTCAACAATTCGTCTCCTCCCTATAGCACCATTTTGGAGAGTATCACATACGTAAACAACGTATGTACGCGGATACGTTGTTTGCATTGTTTATGCTTTGATCTGAACTTTGATCTATGTGATACTCTCCAAAATGGCTCCAGGGTGACGCGGAGGAGACGAATTGTTGAATAAAGTCGTCATTTTTGTTTTCGTTTGCACACAAAAAGTATTCTCGAAGCTTCGTAAAATTACGGTTGAACCCGATGTCACATGGATTATTGTACCGATGTCCTTGCTACGTTTCTGGGTCTTGATCGTGGTATTATCATTGCTGTCTATGGAAGGTCTGAAAGCACTCGGACTTCATCAAAAATATCTTAATTTGTGCTCCGAAGATGAACGAAGGTCTTACGGGTTTGGAACGACATGAGGGTGAGTAATTAATGACAGAATTTTCATTTTTGGGTGAACTATCCCTTTAAGGCAGATTTTGAGGTAAACCGCGGCAGTTTCTGGATGTACACTGAGCCCCATGTGTTTGTGCAGGAGTTCAGAACGTGGTTGGAGGAGGAATGGGGAAGAACATTGGAGGACATTTTCCACGAGCACATGCAGGAGTTGATCCTCATGAAGTTCATTTACACCAGCCAATACGAGTGAGACTCCTACATCGCCCGTTCTCACCCAGAATGCGCTAACAGTTTCATTTCCTCGGTTCAGTTTTGCAGTCTGGTGCCAGGCGTGTTTTAAACGTGTGTTTTCTGGTTTCAGTAATTGCCTGACGTACCGGCGGATTTATCTGCCCCCGTGCCTCCCTTCAGACCTGCTGCAGCCGGGCCTCTTCAAAGGGACATACGGCAGTCACGGCCTGGAGATCATCATGCTGAGCTTCCACGGCTCCAAGGCCAAAGCCACCAAACTTACCGTGAGTCTGACATCTGCAAATATAGACTGGAGCGCTTTGATTCTCAGGGAAAACATGACACTGAGCAAACCTTTACTGTTTGAGGCACAGTTCAACTCAAATCAACACCTGTACGGTGACGTCTGTCACACTTTCCAGTCCGGTGTGATATCTGGAGGAAATGACAAGGAAAAGTTGTGTTTTCTTAATTGTATTGTTCAGTCTAAGCATCGAAGCATTCAAGTTTCTGGTCCAGTCGTTGAATTGGCACAAAATTCTTTAATACGAAAAAAAAGCATAATTTAATCATAAGAATGCATACATTAACAGTGTTTCTATCTTTGGGGACTATACATTTAACATTTATGCACTTAAGAAGCAATTCAGTTACAAACTTTTGATGCATAATTTCATTAAAAATTAAGAAAAAAATATTCACCTTCCAAAATGTTTTTTTTATTTATTATATTAGTACTACAACTATATTATTTTTTTGTTATTTCTATAAATTATTATTATTCATTACTATGAATAGCTTATGAGTAGTGCTGTCAAACGATTAATCGCATCCAAAATAAAAGTTTTTGTTTACATAATATATATGTGTGTGTGTGTATTGTGTATATTTATTATGTTTATATAAATACACACACATGCATGTATATATTTAAGAAAAATATGTTATGTTTACATATTAAATATATTTATATATGATATAAATTATATGAATATAAAAATATACATGTAAATATTTTCAAAATATATGCTGTATGTGTGCATTTATATATAATAAATATACACAGTACACACACACATATGTAAACAAAAACTTGTGTTTTGGATGCGATTAATCGTTTGACAGCACTACTTATTATTTAAATCATAATTTAAAACAATTTTGCTATTTGTGTGTGTGTGTGTGTGTGTGTGGCAAAATAAATAATACAAGTAAACTAACATCTTTTATTGTTATTTAAATATTATTTTATAAAGTATTCTAGTTCGTAGTTGAAATAGTTTGTAATAATAAAAATAATAGTAGTTATTACTATTATTAATTGCATATTCTATTTTGGACAAAATAAATAAAACATTTAAATACACATAAAATGATTTGTTAGTATTTATTAAAATACTGTACTGTGTATACACAAAATACATGAATTTATTTTAATTAATTAATTAATTAACTATTATTATTATTCATTACTATGAATAGCTTATGGTGTAAATAATCATAATTAAAACAATTTAGTTATTTGTGTGTATGACAAAATAAAACAAATTGTAACATTTTATTCTTATTTTTTTATATATAATTTTCATAATATATAAATATTATGAATATTATAGTATCTAAATAAATATTATAGTATTGTATTTCATAATTTAATAGTTTATAATTATTCTTATTTGTAGTAGTATTAATTGTATTAGACAAAATAAATAAAACATTTAAATGCGTGTCATAAAATGATTTGTTAGTATTTATTGAAATTAAAATGTGGATACACAAAATAAATGAATTAATTTAAAAACATTACATCTGAACAATTATTGTTATTATTATTATTCATTACTAAGAATAGCTTATGATGTAAATAATCATAATTAAAAACAATTTAGTTATTTGTGTGTGTGTGACAATAAAACAAGTACATTTTAATGTTTTTTATTATCTAAATATTTTTTATAATATATAAATTAATATTGTAGTACTGTAGTTCATAGTTTTAATAGTTTATTATTAATATTAATTGTATATTTTGTATTAGACAAAAGAAATAAAAAAAATTTTTTTTTAATAAATTTAAATACATGTAATGAAATAATTTGTTAGTATTTATTCAAATTAAAATGTGTATACACAATCATTTTTGTAAATTATTATAGATAGTGTATAATTTTAATAGTAATGCGTACAAAGCACTTTGGCACATGATTTTTGTCATTAATATATTTCCATATTGTCTGTAAACAGAATAATATGAGCAGAAAAATACATAGTAAATAAATTAACAAATTTTCAACTCTACATTTACACAAACTTTTATTTAAAAGTAAAAGTTCAAGTTAAGGTTCCAACGATGCCTATAGTATGCGTGATTTAGCGTGTTCATCAGCTCACTTGTTTGTGTTTAGGGTGACCCCAATGTCCCAGCAGGTCAGCTGACGTTAGAAATCGACCTGAACCGGCCGGTGCGTCTGCCGGACCTGGAGCACCAGCGGAGCATAGAAGAGCTCTCTCGCCTGGTGCTGGGGGTGCACGAGGAGGCCCAGAGGGGGCCACAGTCCCGGGACGCCCCATCAGAGACTGCAGAGGGCTCAGATTCGGCTCCCCCTGCTGGAGCGGAGGATGTGGAGCCGGGAGCTGCGGCATCTGAAGCGCAGCCATTTGTGCTGCCTCTGGGAGTCATGGCCCGTAATGAAGTGTATCCTCGCACCTGCAAGATGTGGTGAGTCTGCTGCTATACTGTACTTTACATCTTATTACTGTACTGTACACATTACATAATGTTTATTAAATCAGCCAAAGTTCATTTCAATTTTTATTTTTACAGTATTTCTATTTTTTTATTACCTTATTATCATTTTATTATATTATTAATACATTAATAATATTTAATTATATTTTGTAAAATAGGCATATGTGAATTATTTTAAATCAGTTTCCAAATTTAATTTGTTAAACTGAATAATTTTTTATTACTTTATATTTTTGTTTTGTCTCTATAATATTAAATATAATTAATGACATTTCTATATTTTTATACAGAAATAATTGACAGCAATTAAATGAATGAAAATAATTCTTTATTATATTTGATAAAATATCAATGTCAATTTATTTAAATCGGTTACTAAATTGAATTTGTTAAACTAAATAATTTGATGTAATATTTTATGTCTATTAATATTAAATAGCATATATTTTTATACAGAAGTAATAGACAGCAATTAAATGAATCACTTAAAATAAATGTGATAATTTTAAATGAATGAATAGTAATTATATTGTACTATATAAAAGATATAAAATAGACATGAAAATGATTTAAAATGTGACATGCAATATTAAATACTAGGGATTAGGGATGGGAAGATTCCCAGATGCATCGGCATAAAAAGTTAACGATGCGATGCATCGGTTTAAAAAGTGTGTATCGGCTACAAGTCGGCATTTGTATCGCGATGCATCGTTTCTAACATATTTGCATCGGTAAAAACCGATATATTTATATATAATTACTAGTGGATGCGCTATACTTTTATTATTTAGAAAGTGACCAATAATCTGTGATATATGTATTTGTTTGTCAAGCGCGTGCTCTCGAATATGACGAATCACAACACGACGGAGACCCGAGAAAAAAATGGGATTAAAGTACAAAACCTGACTTGAAATAACCTAACAAATCAATCAGGGCTAAAGCAGTTCCATAAACGACAAATTAAATTCACACAATCTCACTAATTTGTGCAGGTTTATTCTTAAGCAGCCCGTAATGTAGATCATGGATCAAATCGATCCACCATCGCAAACAGCGAATATATTCGTGCTGTTTAATGCATTTGAGACGTTGTGTTTTCCTCAGTGCATAACTGACATGTCACAGGTATATTTTTCATCTGTAAATGTTAGAAAGTCATGCAAATATGTCCATTTTGCTAACAGGAGTGGGCGAGGCTTACGCGAGTGAACAAGCCCTGCTGCGCGCATGCACGCTAAACAGACGGCGCGCAATCGAATAGGAGCGCAATAAGCGTGTAATGTTCCAATGTTCTGCTATCTGTTCTGCAAAGGTACAG